GTTTTGTATTAAAGGTTGGATTGTCATGAAATTTTATAGTTTAAAGTTGAAAGGAAAAAAAAACAATCGGCGATACTTGTTTATGGGTCAGAATGCATGTTTCTACATGATGTTTGTAAGTGAATTAGAAATGTTTCTCGCTAATATTCTGCTAATATTGCACCTTTTCTTTGAAATGGTGATACTGATGAGGTATTTAATTTATTTCGCTGTAAGGAATTTAAGAGTGCTAAAAAATAAGATATTGATATCAATTCAGTGAATAGTATTTTTGTGATGTTTGTTGAGTTAAAAGACAAAAGTTATTTATCACAAGTACAAATAATTTTATCTACACGGAGAGGATAAAATTTCACTGAGGTGACTTAGAGTTGCATAAAACACTATAGTGAAAGATATTTCTGCTACATGCAGGTTGTTTTTTTTTTGTGTTGAGGAACAACACATGAAGAACAGCGAGCCAGGATCCACAAGATCAGATTCACATTGTGTCCACTACGATGCCAAAGAACCTTCTGTTCCACTAGATGGGTGGGATTGGGTTAGGGTTAGCTACAACATGACATTCAGATCTGAAAACTGAACTGAAACCGAATCAAAGGAAAAGAAACCCCTGAACTTGACTGACTTGACTTAGGACTCCTAGAGGAAAACATTGACTATTTTGTTCTGTTCGTGTTATTGCCAAAATGTGTAATAAATATGTGTTTTGTTCAACTCTTTGTTTCACTTTTTCCTCCTGAGATGAACCTAGTTTCTGATACGCTAATTGATCATAAAGATTTATAGTCACTGATTCCCTTGTCGTACGTGACTACCAGGTTAGTAGACCTTACATTTATGATTAGAGTAATAATAAATACAAAATGTTTAAATTCTCAGTAAGCAGTGACCAGACTCTAAATTTGTGTGTTCTCTCTGCAGGTTTCTTATTTTGAAATCTACCTGGGTAAAATCAGAGACCTGCTGGACGGTGAGTCTGTTCTCCCACTTCCACGTTCTGACCTTCAGGAATCCACATTTTACTGAGGATCTTTCTCAATTCTAGCACCAGCTGAGTTTTGAGATCTTTGTCTTGCTTTCAGTGTCGAAGACGAACCTCGCTGCATGAAGACAAGAACAGAGTGCCCTATGTGAAGGTCAGTAAGACGAGTTTCAACTTCTTCAATGAGGGTTAGATCTGGTTTGACACAAACATATTTTCGATGTTTTTATCTGTAAATGATGTTGTTCCAGCTGTAACGGCCTGCTCTCTGTTTCAGGGCTGCACTGAGCGCTTCGTGTCCAGTCCTGAGGAAGTGATGGACGTCATCGACGAGGGAAAGGCCAATCGGCACGTGGCAGTGACAAGTACGTAAACATATTTATTTATCACATTTATTCAATTATAACTTTTTACAAAAACAGAAAATATGTAGAACAAGTCTAAGACATGTTTTGTGCCTGCTGCAGATTTACCATTTTTTGTTTTATACTGAAGTCTAATTCTGCAATCATGAACTTTTTGATCTGTGTTTTGTTGCTGCATGCCTTTATTGATATCATTTAGACAAATAACACATTTTCTCTCAGTTTCAGCTGCTATACTGTGGATTTTCTGTGGCAAAATGAAATTTCACATCAAAAAGTACAAAAATAACCCTGAACTACCTACTGTTGGCCAGTAGGGTGCAGTAAGCCCGAGAGCATTTAAAATGCATTTGCAAAAAAATATTCGGTTAAAAATTATATTACCATAAAGATATCAAAAATCTTGTTCAAAAACATATTTTTGCTGGTAAAATATTTCCTGTTAGGGTTTATTTTTCCTACTAAATATCTTTATTATGTTGTTGGATGGAGTAAAATCAGACGATCTTTTGGGAAATTGAGTTTTTCTCACCAAAAAACACAATCTGGTAAAATGATTATATGTGCAACTGCTGCAGAAAATGGATTAAAACATTTGATTGACTTTTTTATCTTCTGTCATCATTGCCTATGTGGCGTTGGCTTATTTAAAAGGGACTTTCTTTACATAAAATGAGCAGAAGATGATTTATGAATGATATATTTTTTTAATGAATGATTTTTCTGTTTTCTGCTGCAGACATGAATGAGCACAGCTCTCGCAGCCACAGCATCTTTCTGATCAACATCAAGCAGGAAAACGTGGAAACGGAGAAGAAACTGTCAGGGAAGCTTTACCTGGTGGATCTGGCCGGCAGCGAGAAGGTCAGTCTGAGATTAATGAGGTCGCATTCCTCTGCTGAGCTGTGAGATTCATAAAGTCCGATTGTTTGACAGGTCAGCAAGACCGGAGCAGAGGGGGCGGTGCATCAACAAATCTCTGTCGGCGTTGGGGAACGTCATCTCGGCTCTGGCTGAGGGAACGGTGAGTTGGTTCTCCCTGAGGTTCTGATGGAGCGAGTTGGAGATGGTTGATCTGATCCCGGTTCCCCAGAAAACCCACGTGCCGTACAGAGACAGCAAGATGACCCGGATCCTGCAGGACTCCCTGGGAGGAAACTGCCGCACCACCATCATCATCTGCTGCTCGCCGTCCGTCTACAACGAGGCCGAGACCAAGTCCACGCTCATGTTTGGACAGAGGTACTCCTGGCTTCTTCTCTGGAGCGACAGCTAAAGGAAACACATTCAGGTTTTGGATCTCGGCTGCTTCTAGGAACAGTCAAACGCTGCGAAAAACTAAATGTTAATGTTATTTTGTTGTTGTTTTCTTTGGTTTACTAAAAACCTCCAGAATGTAACGTCACAAATTAGCAAACAGTTACCTAGCAACCCAAGCCGAGCTTCAGTATGTTTGATACAATGGCTGCTGGAAAAGACAAGAGTTTTGTGGTTGTCTTACCATCCAGAAACCATTCGCTGCATTCTTGTTGCTTGTGCTGGAGGCTCTTCTTGACTTGTTGTCTGGAGGCCGACAAATATCATTTCAGGGGCCTCAAATGGCCCTCAGGCCGCAGTTTGGACACCCCATCTGTAGATGTTGCTTTGAAGTAAAGTTGGGGAATTTAAAAGTGATGCTCCTTTTTTTTATTGTGTCCTCTCTCTGCAATGAATTGAGAGTGTAATCAGCTCCACATCATGATACTGCCACCACCATGCGTGTCAGATGTCATGTATGTTCGCCTGCAGTGTTTCAGATCTTTGGGTCGTGTGCAGGTGAAAGTTGATGTCAGTTCTGCAAACTAACTCAGGTGTTCAAAGTGAGGGACGCGGCCATTTACGGCCCGAGGACTGATTTAGTGCGGGACTCAAAGCACAAAAAGAAAAGAAATCAGGACAAAACTACAACTTTTAAATGAAAATCATGTTAGATGCATCACACAGTGATCATCTGTTTCTAGCTTTTGGTTCCCTTCTATTGTCATGGTATCTAGAACATGCACTCATTGTCTTTTACTCAAAACTTCACATCTATGAACTAAAATCTGCTTTTAGTTGCTGGATTCAAGCTTCCAGGACATTTTATTTTTATTAGCAAGAGTAGATAAATACTTTTTCAGTTTTTTTCAATTTACAAAAACCCTCTGAGTAATTTTACTTTTTAAATTTAAATATTTATGCTTTGTTTATTGTTGAGTATATTAAAAGAATCACAACAATTTTGTGATTTTATTTGTTAAAAATGTCATTTTTTTGGCTTTCAGTTATTTTTCCCAAATACATTTGAACCTCCTGATGTGCAGATGTTGTGATGGACTGATGGTGGCCATCTTGTCTGGTTCAGGGCGAAGACCATCAAGAAACACGGTGTGTGTGAACCTGGAGCTGACCGCAGAGGAGTGGAAGAAGAAATACGAGAAGGAGAAGAACAAGAGCCTGAAGAGCGCCATCCAGAGGCTGGAGGCTGAACTGAACCGCTGGAGGAACGGTACGTGGAAAACGTTACAATCTGCTGAGTCTGCATTGTGTCCCCATCCTCACTCTTCCTCATCCGCTGTTGGTTAGTAACCACAGAGACTCCTCCTCCTCCTCTGTAGCCATTGTTCTTTAAATCTTGCTGAGTTTGTTGCTGATGGAAAATGTTCCTAAGCATTAAATCAACATTCCCTCTACACACACACACACACACACACACACACACACACACACACACACACACACACACACACACACACACACACACACACACACACATATTCTAGCAGCTGCAGCCAGACCTGGACGGGTTTCTGGGTCTCTACGGCCTCATCATGACCGGCATGTTCATCAAGGAGAAGGTGGGTCCAAACCCAACAGAACCAGGCAGAACCAGGCAGAACATGTTTCCATGACGGGTCAAACCAGGAACACATTATTATTTAAGACCAAGATTATCATAATCAAGAAGACAGATCAGTAAACTTTACATTTTAATGACCATTTAGCTCTAGAACTGGAAAACATTTTAAATATCTAAAATCAATAAAACAAGTGAAATAAAATATCAAAACTATCCTTCAATAAAAAGCTGGTTGAGATTAAAACCTGTTTGTTTGGTAGAAAAAGGAAAACAATAAACAGTTTTCCTGAAACATTAAGTCATTTTTCTGCCTTTAACACATTCAGCAGTGAATACATGAGGATGATTGACAGCACTAAGCCCCTCCTCCTGGCTCTGATTGGTGGTTTTTGCTGCAGGTCGATATTTTCACAGTCGATCAGCTTCATAACAAACTGTCATCACAAACATATTTTATAAATTCGTTCTTTCAGACGGTTTGTGAGTTTTCAGAACTTATTCTGGACCTTCTGGTTCCAGTTCTTCAGAACCAAAGCGAAGGGCTCAGACGATGGAACCTACGCTGTGAGTCCCGTCGTCTCGTCGTGTCGCAGCTCAGATTTTCTCTTGAATTCGTCTTCATGTGTTTTTGTGTTCAGTCTCTCAGCAGAGCGACGGGCGACACCTACGAGCCGCTGATGACCGACCCGGAGCGAGGAGGGTGAGTCCAGATGTCGGTTCTGAAGGTTCTGGTTCTGTTCAGATGCTTCATCTTGTTTCTTCTCATTGTGTCTCTCAGAACCGCCGAGCGCCGGATGACTCCACCTACACGGTACCAGACGAACCGTCCAGACAGAACCGCAGTGACCTCTGGATGTTTATCTAACTGGTTCTGTTTGGGTTTCAGGGCCTGCAGAAACGATCAGAACCGACGTATAAAGAGCTTCCTGTGAGGAGAGAGGTGAGCGTCTGAAACGATGAGGTTCTGTCAGGTTCTGGAACCGGTTGCATTAAAACTCTTGTTTTTGCAGCGTCAGCGGAAGAACGAGCAGGTTTACCAGGTGAGTACCGACTGGACCGGACCGGACCGACCCGTCCAACATCTGCTCTGATCAGCTGATTGATTAACTGATGGGCTGCTTTCAGGGTCTGAGCTCGGTCACCAGAGACACCTACGACTCCCTGCAGATGCAGCCGCTTCCGGCCCGCTAACCGGGTCGGTTCTGAAGAATCCTGCAGATCAGCACCAAGTTTTACTCTGATTGGACCCGACGGCTCCTCAACATCTGGGAATTTAAGGCTTTTCCCACCAGATTTGGAGCTTTAAAATTCTGAAATATGACAGTTTTTTTATTTAGAGCTCATCAATGTGATCAATAGTTTTGATTAGTTTAAAGGGAAATCAATAATTCCACTCATTAATTAGCATTCGATGCCGAGAAGTTTCACTGTTGTGTAAATATTTGTATGAGGATGAGAAACAGGAGGAAACCTGCTCAATAGTTTCTGCTTCTAATGTCTGACTGTGTGAAGTCTGAAGAACCTGAAGTCAGTTTGAACTGGATGGAACACAAGAAGGACAATTTAAACACATTTAGTCAAATCAGAGATAAAATCAAATGAAAATATATTTAGGTTAACATTAATATGATGGACATTATGATCATTTAATTGTTATTCTGCTGTTTTTAATCATATTTCTTGTCTCCTATGACTCATTTTATTAACTTTTGTTGTTTTTTTATGTTTTCCGAGAATTTCTGCTGTTTTTAGAATGTTATTAAATGTAAAGCTTTTATCTGATGATTAAATGAGTCTTAAATAAACATCTGTTACTCATTTCTGCCTCCTGGTGGACAGAATGAAGGTTTGCAATAATAAAGATTTACCTATAATTTATTCAATTTTGCCAGTAGAATTAGTTACTTATTTAATTGGAAGATTGTTTCTCATAATTTGGGTAAATGTTATAAATGTTATCAGTGAAATAATCTGCATGATTCATCAATATTAAGAAATAATTGACTGAAAAGAAGCTCATGTGTTTTGCTGAAGTTATTAGTCACTGGCTCCCAGTGAGGGACCAGACCAAGAGCAGCAAGAGACCAACTAGAACTAGAAGTCAGGGTTTCCTCTGCTTCATCAGCCTGCCGGGCTGATACTGTTGTACCGTAGTGAGAAGGGGCGGAGCCTGAGGTGAGTCAGGAACAATAAGATCAGGAGAAACAGATTATTCACTTTTTATCAGTAAAACAATCAGAGGAGGGCTTCACAACCCTCCTCTGAATTATGACACTCAAAACTTTGTAATATTTTAACCCAAAAACGCAGCGGGCCGCTGATGGACGACCTTATGACCCCACCCTGAAGTGTTCCCAGGTAATTCCTGCATCAGGAATTTTGTGTTAAATGATATTTACTAGTTTGATTAACATTGATCTGAAACCTTCACCTTCCATTTATGACACATCAGAAAAGGTTCCTGCTGGACGGATCTTAATGTTTGGAGGTTGAACCTTTTTTTTTTCAGGCATGTTGGCAACGAGGAAACATTCCTGCACAGCAGAGACAGAAACTGATAAACATCTTCCAGTGAACGGCTGCAGCAACTTAAAACCTGTTTGTAACTCAGCAGGTTTTTAACTTTTGTTGAAAACGTTTGAGACAAACTAGTTGAACAACTTAAAGCCTCCATCTAAGAGAGGCCAAAGATTAAAGAAGTTTATGTTCAGTAGTGAAGGAGGATCAGGTGAGAATCATCATGGAAAGACAAAAGATAAAATGAAAAATAAAAAAGATTAGAAACTGAAAAAGTTGTGAAATCTTTGCCATTTAGGAAAATGTTAAACTTTAAAAAATGTTGTGAACTATGTTTCAGATTCTTTATTTATTATTATTATTATTATTATCATTATTATTATTATTATTATTATTATTTGACTTTTAAATGAACTTTCTGGCCAAAATTTAGCATAAGAGCTAAAAAGATAATTAAATGTGTAGCAGTTGAATGATGTTAGCTAATGCTAATGCTAATTAATGTCTATGGTGACCTTTGACCTTCCTGCCAGGGTTCTTGAATTATTCTGAAATGTTTGTAATTTATTAATCATTTGTTTTTATTTCTAAAAGTAAACAAAACTATTTTAAACAGGATCAGGAACTGAAGTCGGTCATGTAGTGAAAGACGACTGGATGGATCCGACTGACTGAAACTTTAACAACAAACATCCACAAGTTACTGGATGATAAAAACTATTTCCTCCTTTCTGGGTCTTTTTCTTCTGCCCAGATTATTGATTAATATCTGGATCAATACAGTGGAGATGCAGAGGAGATAATAATGTTCCTGTAAAGCTGATCACAGTCAAAAGACGTTTTTACACCAAGATTGAATCAAACTGACGGCTTTAAAACTTTTACACAGTAATGTTTCATTTTTAGATGTTGTTCATTATTATTTACCTTTAATCTTTTTACTAATCTACAGTCATGAAAACGTTTCCTCTGTTTTCTTCTCAGGTTATAAATAAATGTTCAACTGGTTGATGAAGAACTGGAGGCTGCAGAGCCGACAGGCTGGAAAACCATCAATCTGTCCAGATCTTCTGATCAGAACCAGAACCAGAACCAGGCACCAATAGAGAGCAAATCATTTAATTTACAAAAAACTAAATGAGCAAACTGAGGAAGGAGGAAACATTCCTGCACAGCAGAGACAGAAACTGGTAAACATCTTCCAGTGAACGGCTGCAGCAAGTTAAAACCTGTTTGTAACTCTGCAGGTTTTTAACTGTCGTTGGAAACGTTTGAGACAAACTATTTGAACAACTCAAAGCCTCCAGGCTAAAAGAGACAAAGGTTAAAGAAGTTTATGTTCAGTAGTGAAGGAGGATCAGGTGAGTTAGTAACACCATAAAAACACCAGGATAAAGTTGGTTCTGATCCGTTTGGATCACATTATGGCTTGTAACACCTGATCATTTTCAGCATTAAAACCTGTTTTTATAAAACCAAATCTCATTATTTCTCAGGGTTCTGGTCGGTCCTGAAACTGGTAAACGGACCTGGAGGATCACAGAGACAGAAATGATGAAACTCCAACAAAACTATGAGGAAACTGAAGGTCCTGACCTTTAACCTCCTCACAGCTCCATGGCTGAATGAGGAAACTGAAGGTCCCGCCTTTCCTCGGAACTGGATCAGAACCGGTTCAGCAGCGTCTGAATCAGCCAATCAGCAGTGGAGTTTCTTCCTGCGTGTCTCTGCTGGTTCCAGTAGAAACGGTGATCTGGAGTCAGAGGTGATCCGCTGCTGGGATCCGATGGACGACTCTCTGTTCTGAGAGGAAGATGATGATGATGATGATGATGATGATCCTCCTGCTCGGTAAGATCACCTTCCTCTCTGCTCCTCATCCTCTCCAGTCTCTGCAAGCTGCTGATCAGACTCAGAGCTTCTGGGTTCTGGTCCGTTCTTCTCTCTAAATGACCCCTGGTGACCTCATCTGGTTGATGGTTCTGGATCAGAACCTCAGGTTCTGGTTCCAGCGACTCGTCTCTCACCAGTCCTCCCAGTAGATCTCACTGGTTTATTGTTGCTGGTTGGATTCTGGTCTCTTCCATCCAACCAGTGGCTCCACTTTGCCGTTTCCTGTCTGGATTCAATTTCTCTGTTTTGGGTTCAGCAGCTGATCTGGTTCTGATGTTTTCTATCAGGTTGTAGTTCTGTGAGCTTCAGAACCACTGAGACCCATTCAGACCAGTAATCTGGACTTTAGCTCCCAGAAACCAGTGATGAATGTTTGAAGATGTTGAAGGTTCTGCGTTTCCTTCCTGCCTTCAGTTTTTCACATTCATGTTCATTTGAATCCAAGATGGCCGCCTGCTGGTTGTACTTATTTCTCCTGAATTCACCTCAGTCTCAGGTTGGTGGTCATAATGTTCTGCCGCTGATGCATGATGCTGGTCTGACCATTAAAGGAGAACCAGGTTCTGGTGGGTCCGGTTCTTCTCTGGTTTACTGGTTGATCTGGATGATATTCAGAATGAAATGATGAGTTTTTGGATCAAACAGCGATTCTTTAGAAATGTCCAGATTGTTGTTTGATCAACTAAATGCTTCAGTTTCACAGCAGAAAGTTACTGGAAGGTTTAAACTCTGTAACTAGAAAGAATCAGAACCAGAAACCCAGAAAAATAAGTCAGAAGAATTTTAGTTTTTTATAAAGTCACAGAAATAAAATCTGCCCAACAATCACAAGATACTAAAACAAAAATCTTTCTTATCAAATAGATAAAACAAGCTGAAAACTGACAGCAGGATTTCTGCTAATAAACAGCAACTCTGAAAACATTCATGCTTTTTCAGTTTCATCTGTTTCCATCTTTCAGTTTTAAATGTATTTATTTTAATGCACTTTTATCAGTTTTCTGACTTTTTGCTCAATGTGAGTTAATGTTACATAACAGATCAGAGTTCAGGATCACTGAGCCGTTTAGCAGACAGACTGAAATCTTTCATCTCTAGTGAAGAACTGATCATTATTTCTACACTAAACCCTCATCTTGTGTCCTCAGTTTCCCAGCACACTGGGAGGAGTGGTGGAGGTCAATGAGGGGGCGGAGTCTGTCCTGCTGCCCTGCATCTACTCTGGTTTTCCACCTATAGACCCGTCACTCATCTGGACTCGCAGTGACCTCAGTCCGAACTCCGTCCACCTGCGGAGAGAAAACGGCGACGATCTTCAGAACCAGAACCAGCGTTTCAGGAACCGGACCTCCATGAATCCTGACGCTCTGGACACTGGAAACTTCAGCCTGACTCTGAGGAAACCTGAGCAGATTGATGGAGGAAACTACACCTGCAGCATCTCTGATGGAAGAGAAGAACTGAACCTGAAACAGATTCACCTGAAGGTCAAAGGTCAGATAAACAAGCAGCACACCTTTGTTAAAGTTCTATGAATGAATGAATTTGTTCAAATGAGAAAATGAATAATAGATCATAGTGTCTGTAACCATGGAGACAGTGATGAGACTAAATCTGACATGAAAGCAGAAAATGATCCAAACTGTTTCTGATCATTTTCTTCTTTATTTCCTCTCAGCTGATCAGCAGGAGGTCGAGGTCACTGAGGGGTCAGATTCTGTCGTCCTGCCCTGCACAACATCGTCCCGCCTTCCTGAGGACACAGTAGTGGAGTGGACCCGCTCAGAACCAGAATTTATGATGGTTCACTCAAGCAGCAACCAGAAACCAGGACGGATTTTACCGCGACCGAACAGAGATGGACCAAGATTTCCTGAGGACCGGAGACGTCGGCCTGACCCTGAGGAATCCCACACACAGAGACGCTGGACGCTACGTCTGCACCGTCTACAGAGACCAGGACGTCCTGAGACACACGCTGGTTCTGAAATATGTACAGAAAGGTCAGAGCATCAGGTCAGAGCTGCTGGTAAAGGTCAAAGGTCAGAGTGAGGTCAATCTTTCTCTGTTTTCCACAGAACCCTTTCCATCCTGGGCCACAGCTCTGCTGGTTCTGGTTCTCATCGTC